TACAGCACTGACTTACAGCACGTTCACGGTATGACATCCCGTAACATTGAAATGGCTTCCCATAAGAATGGTTAACGTATAGAAGTGGGAAGCATACTGAGTACTGACTTACAGCACGTTCACGGTATGACATCCCGTAACATTGAAATGGCTTCCCATAAGAATGGCTAACGTATATATGTGGGAAGCATACAGCACTGACTTACAGCACGTTCACGGTATGACTTGCCGTAACATTGAAATGGCTTCCCATAAGAATGGTTAACGTATATATGTGGGAAGCATACAGTACTGACTTACAGCACGTACACTTTACGACATGCAGTAACATCGAAATGGCTTCCCATTTTCTCTCAGTTATTCATCCAATCACAATGCCTAATTTACGGTTACGGTAAGATACGGTACTGCTACAGTAAGGCCAACGACTTTGCCTTTTCGTTCAGTCCCACTCGACTAAAACCACTCTGCCACTCACAGGCCTTCCTAACGCGGCAACTATGTTTATTCTCATGAAAATRAAAACCTTTGTTTGGCCCGCATAAATTAGTTCTCAAGTACTTAATTGCGAGGCTACTTGTGGGAAAATCTATTGTTCAAGTCAACATGGCTGCCGCGTGAGCAAGGTCCATTATCACTTAGTCCACTTAGTTATTTGTTTGTTAGCTAGCCTAAGCACGTTCCAGACCATCTATTTCTATCTTGATCAATAATTTTATCATGTTTGTCGTACAAGTAATTTTCGTGTAATCTTCCCTATCAACAACAATTATCACCGAGAACTGAATGAGTAGCGGAGCTAGCCTTACTAGCTGGGACTGTATTGGTGCATTGCCACAGCAAGTCAATGAGGATGATTGATGGGCGTTAATCAATAAGGACTAATGTCCGAAACATCAGTAAAGTTACAAACACTTCTTTACCAGGTGATGAAGCTTCCTTCCTATAAATTGTTATAACAATAATGGGACTTAGGGAAATCAACTGAACTATTTAGATTATCGTGCGTCTGCAGCTAGCCTTAAGCACAGGCTACAGATGAGATCAGATTTATACAGTATTATCATGAATATCAGCCATGACCATGTTCGTTGAGTATCATAATCATATCTAGAGCGGACCATAACTATCACAGTCATTACTGAGAGACCGTAGGTGATTGTACGATCGCTATCTTAATGACAATTACTGTCATTATCATATCTTTATAACTGTAATTACAACAAGATGGTCGAGTTGATTTGGTGTCAATGTCGTTTGGTGTCACTAATAAAAGGCATAGGCTATCTATCAGCACTTCATGTGTATCAACAGATATTACGATGAAAAAATTTACAATTAGACTCTCTCTCTCTCTTTCTCTCTGTCGTCAGAAACACATATCCTCATAGAAAGATTGTTATATTGGTAGACGAACCGTTTCTCGTGTGAACTTGTTATTATCGACTTGATTTTGAGCAAAAACTGTTGATAGCTCGAACGAGACGTGTGCTGAAATAAACTTACACGAATAGAAATAGCACTGAGCTGGTTAATCTATATTTATTTTTATTTTAACTGGAGAAAAGGTAAATACTATTCACGATCATATATATGTGTGTATAGACACCTTTCTTTCTTTATTTGCACTCATGATATACTTTACAATGACAAAATAGATGATAAATTTACAAGTTTCAACAAATAAAGAAAGTAAAATATAGATCAAGTGAGAAAAATAATTATGAGGTGCTGTGGAGCTGAAGTAACAAAAGTTTTCGAAGCCAGCTCCCCAAAAGTAGTGCAAGCGAAAGAAAAATTCTCAACTATAAAGCAACTACTACTTAAATTTACGCGAAAGAAAGAAGAAAAAAGGAAARATTTTTGGGGTATCATACCCTGCCATATACACAGGCCACTGAAGGATAATGTAACAAAACGGCAAATAAATCAATCAAAAGTATTCAACGCAGCGGGGGCTTTGAACAGATCTCGTATAGGTACAATATATATAAGCCTGTCTTCCTTAGTAACACACACTTAAACGTTTAGAAGAGCATGTACTTAAACTGTATATTCTTTGTCGCAATTAAAGAAAACCTCAGCAAAATGCGCGAGATTAGATCAGTCCACGTAGCGCGCTCAAGTGTCAAACAGTTCGCTTAGGGGTTCGCGAGGGGAATCTAAGTGGTATCGATGGAAACTTGTCCTTGTGTTTGGTACTGAGATCAGAAATTGGTATTGATAAACGCTTGTGTTCATTAAGATAAACCTCGTGATGACGTCATTTCGTCCGTTTCTCGATAATCGAGCCCTAGAGTTCTCATTCAAGATCTTCTTATTCTTTCTTGTTACAAACAAATGGACTTGTTCTTACATAGAGTATCGGATGCTAGTATACCTGTTTTGTAGTACTATCAGTATAATCCCTGAACGCTGTTCTAAGAATAGCCGAGAACTAAATTGATTGATTGATCCACGGATCGTAATTTGCATCGAAGAGTCTTATTTTCTGTGTAGTATCGCGCGCTATCTTCAAGCTGCGAACATTTTGTTGTATTTACACTTAAAACTGAAAATGCCTCGAGGGATATTTATTTCATGGTCCATAATTATAATCAAGCCATACACCTATATTTATCACTATAGGATATATTTAGATAATTAAACCAGTTTGACCAGTTTGACCTTTATTGCGCATCACAGTCGCGCAGCCGTGGCAATCGGCAAGGTAAATAAATCACCATCCGTCCGGCAAAACCTTCCAGGAAATCAGAGAGCTGGCATTTAGTAACAGTTCGTTGTCAGATGAATATGGTACGTACTAGAAGTATACTAGTTAGTAAGGAAATGCAGGTATTACAGTGTTGATTCATGGCTCATATCCGATGAACTTTTGGTATTATAAAGGTATGTTTTGGTAAACATTTTCAATGTGTGCGAGTATATAAGAACTTGAAACAGAACAATAAGAGGTCTGATAGTCGCAAACTTGTTGTTCGATTTATTTTTATTTTTAGAATTTTTTCGGAAATGTAAATATATTTTCAACTTATGAGCAGTCGTATCACGAATCGGTGAAAGAAAGAGAAATGGAAAATAATGAAAAAATAAAGCACTGCGGGATTGGAGCTGGTTTATTAGTTTAAAAACAAAGCTTTCAAATTTTAACGCTTCCTTGAAAAAAGTTAA